GGGGGGGGGGGAGAAATAAATAAATAAAAGAAAAGCTGTTTTAGTAAGATACCGAAGGAGACAGATACCTGCATTTATTGGGGCTGCAGCAGGGGAGTTTCCCTGCTTAGGGACCACTGAGGCAGCCAGCCCTGCCACTGTCTGACCCATTGGAGAAGAGCTCAGGTGATCCTGATCCGCGGGAGGGAATTGTGCAGGTGTGCTTGTGGTTCACTTGGCTTAAATAAAAGAAAAGCTGTTTTAGTAAGATACCGAAGGAGACAGATACCTGCATTTATTGGGGCTGCAGCAGGGGAGTTTCCCTGCTTAGGGACCACTGAGGCAGCCAGCCCTGCCACTGTCTGACCCATTGGAGAAGAGCTCAGGTGATCCTGATCCGCGGGAGGGAATTGTGCAGGTGTGCTTGTGGTTCACTTGGCTTATATTCCATGGTGAAGAACACAGACAGAGCAGCTGGCCTTGTGACTGTCCATAGGGTTATGTCTTTAGGAGTAGGGGTTAGGGTGTGGCTGTGGTGCTGGTGAGAAAGAGGTGAAGTGAGGGCTTCAGCAACCTCTAGGTGTGGTTTCCAGTGGCAGCAGGAAACCTTGGCACCTACATTAAATGGTAGTTTTTATAAGTGGTGACATTACAAACAGAGCATCTGGACAAGTTCTGACCTGGTATCTTTCTCTTGTTGGTGGCTTCCCCTGAGGGCAAGAAGGGGCTCGCTCATCTTTCCAAAAGGTGTGGGCCAAGCCAGCTCCAAGGAAACCAGGGCAAGATGCAATCATGAAATTAAAACTGAGTGAATGAGACGAGTCGCTGCCAGTGTTACCCTTTATTATCTTATGAGGTTATGAAGCAACAAGTTTGTTTAAAATAACATGTTGTAATAAGTTCTGAAGGATATTACTCAGATGTTAGTTTTATTCAGAAAAATCTCCTGAATGTAACTTGGAAGCAAGAGGCTCAGCTTCTCTGGTGGAGAAGTGACACGGGGTGTTTGTGGCAGCTGTGGCCTGTAGAACCCACCCAACTTCTGGTGGAGCTTGCATTTTCTGCTGCATAATCACCCTAAAAGTGGCGTGTACCAGCTGAAAATTGTTGTGCTGGCTGCTGTGCACGTGGTGTGCCTCAGAAGCAGGAATTAGATTGCACTTTGGAGTACTTTTGGTTCCACGGTGGTTATCCAGTTCCTTAAACACTGTGCTTTGCCACTTGGTGAACCACAAGGGCACGTGGAACCCCTCGTGAGCTGAGAGAGGGAGGGAGGGCTTCTTCCAGATGATCAGTCACTGAGCTGAGGAAGAAGATGTGCAAGCAGCACTTCGCTTGTGAGCAGTTGCTTCCTGAGAAAGCTTTCAGCCTCTCTGTGCCCCTTGGGGTACTAAGAGCTTCACAGTAAAGTCCTGTATCACCTTAAGCTGCCAACTCAGTGTGCTGTGCTCTCTCCTGGGTTGCTTCACCACCTTTCAGCCTTCTGGCTGGAACAAGGGTGCACATATACTGCCAAAAAAACCTTCTCTAGCTGGAGGTGGGAGGATGTAAAGGACCTCAGGGCAATGAGAAAGATAATAAATGGTGAATACACCTTCTCTACCCCTTATAGTAATTCTGGCTGACAGATGAGGTAGCAAATCCTTCATGGATTGCATCCAATTTGATGGAAGAGAAGGCATTTCCCTGCCTGCCTGGCTTTCTGCTGCAAAGACTCTCACAGGAGCAAGGGCAGAAAAGAACTGCTTAAAGAAACAAGAAAGTCCCTCTGAGAAGCAGATCAGCTCTTCATCCTCTGTAGGTGATACCACTATGCTATCCTAAATCAAGCCCATACAGATACCTGTCAAATCTTTAAAGATTATGATAAAGAGCTTTTGTTTCCTGATGCCGTCACTTATGGGATGATCCTTGGCTCTAATTGGGCTGCCTTCTGATTGGTGTGACTAGGATGTCTGGTGTCTCATCAGGGAGAACTGTCTGAAGAGCAAAAGTGCCTGATGCCTTTGTTAGAGTATCTGCCTTAGGAAAAAAGCTCTTCCAATAGCAGCCTCCAGTCCTAACACTGCAGGACTGGGAACCCTGCTGTGCTAGGCAATACACGTTGAAGTAATAGAAAGATTAATCTTAAATCCCTGAGGATGACAGAGGAACAGGAGCACAGGTAGCAGCAATAAGCCCATGACATGTAGTGCAGTAAATAGGGCCTGGGCAAGGCAGTCATTTTATCAGTATTGATTGTGTGGTGGCAGCAGTGAAGGAACAACCTGCAATTCAGTTGGTGTTTACAGAAAGCTCCTGTGGTGTGACAGGGAAAATGGGACAAAACATGAAGGGTGATTCTGAATCACAGAGACTGAGATGTGCACCAGTAGCAGTGTCAAGGCAGAAGCCAGGTTCCCAGTATCATGGGAAAGCTGGTGGGTGGAATGAAAAGGGCCTTCAGGGTGAAGATGTTGGGGTTCAGGAGCACCAAGACATCTCAGTGAAGGAAGGTAAAAAGGTGGTGGAAAAGGATGCATGTGGTGGTGTGTCTGTAGCTGTACAGGGAGACCAGGCTTCTCTGGGCTGAGAAGGGGCCTGTCCACAGGGGAAGGGATATGGGATGGATTTATAGGATGAGTCCAGCAAGGTATAGAGAGGCTTAAGTGGGGAAACATCTTCATAATATTGAATGAAGCTGTTGGATGTTCATTACGGGGTGCTAGGAAAGCGACTTGACAAATTTGGATAGAAGACAAACCAAGTGAAAAGCTACTTTTCTGTACTGAGTGAAGGATCCTGACCTCTGAGGAGTACTAGACATCACTGTCACCTTCAGCAGTGATAGCTGATCACAGCAGTGCTTTGGGAACTGATGAAGTGTGGCGCCTGCCCTTGCTGGGCAATGCACTAACAGGTCCTGCTCAAATTGCTCATGACCTAAAAAGGTGCAGATGGGCTCAAGGGCATGGCCTACAGGCAAAGGAGGAGATGTGATGGCAGATGCATTAGCAGACATCACAACAATTCAACCGTGTGAGTTTACTCATTAGGCTCCTAATGAAGTCTGTCCTAAGATCCTCATAGAAGACAGGGTAGGAGTCCTTGAGCTGCTAGCAGTTATCTTGGCAAATTGCAGAAGATAAGGGAAGGCTCCAGAAGGTGGCACATCTTGAAAAAGGAGGGGAGATGGAGAAGAGAGCGAGGGAGAAAGACAACAAGATAACAAAAGTTCTGACCAACATGACTTGATCAAGAGCAACCAAATCAAATTATTGTTGGTATCACAGGGCATTCCTCTAAATATTGTGAATATGTACAGTGAAGCTATTCACTGGTATGATGCAAAGCTATTAAATGTGCCAATTAATGATTCACTGTCATATTAGATGGTGGCCATCTTAGGTCTGACACTGTTCAGTTTATTTAAGGACATATGTGACAGAACTAAATGTGTGCTTATTGTGTTAGCAGGTATTACCAAGCTGGAAAGCCTGTGGGCACACGACAGGACAAGAATAGAAATCAGGGTTTTCTTGAGAAAGTAGAAACGTAGTTTTAAAAGAATAGTTTCAAACAGCAGGTTGCCTTTGCCACACCATGGTCCAGCTGTGTTCATCTTTGAATTGGCTGCAGAACAGGAGACCTTGGGAAATAGGTAGGTTAAAGAAGCTTGATTAATGTTTCTGCATCTCCCTGACATGAGCACAGTGACACTGTGGCTGTAGCCAAACAAAGCTGCCAAGTATTTTCCACCAGTAGAACAGTAACTTAAAACAAGGAGAAGAGGAAGATTGTTCTCTGGAGACCAAACTAAACAGAATTCATATTTAGCCAGGCTGGTCACACAGCCCTGGTACAAATCAGCGTGTCAAGCAAGTGCGAACTAATTGCAACTGTCTTTCAAATAACTATGTACATCAATAATCTGTCAACAGAGAGAAGCCTGCCTTCCCCCGTGGCTGCTGGAGATGCTGGAAGAGGTCCTGAGAGTCCTGCAGAGCCAGCCTGGATTTCCATAGCAAGACAGAAGCAGAGGGGCGTGCAGCAGGAGCAGGAACTCGACAGAGAAAAACGTGTGGCTCTGGATGTTGGGTCAGAGGCAGAGAAACAGAATAAAGAGAAGGAACAAACAGAGGTACTTGGAGTACAAGTTTGTGCTGCTTCCCTACCGCCTCCCAGCATCTTTCTTTGGATCAACTAGATAATTACCAGTTGTGCCTTAATGATTACAGATGCTTAGTGAGTATAATAATAAATAACAGAGACACTGCTCTTGGAAATGTGTTACAGATTTAGAGTTCTCTGATTGTTCAGGTCAGTAATTTTGTATCTCCATGACGTCCTGGAACTATGTGAGGTGTGTAAAACTTCTTGGGTGCCAAGACATACTTACCAGATGTAAAGTGTGTATTGCATGCTCAGATGCCAAAACTAGGTGCTAAATTGTACAGGCTCAGATCTCTCTCAATACAGAGGGAACACATTCTCTTAACTACCCTTCTAAGCACAGCATTTCATTGAACCTCCTCTGCTTCCTGACTGATTTAACAGTGAATGAGCAGCTCAGTCCCAGAAGCTCCTAGGTAACAATTTTTAGAGCCTCGAGAAGTGAAAGAGGATAAAAATAACTTTCGCACTTGCAGTGCCAAGATATAAATGCTGGCTCTCTGTTTATGGATAACTCAGATACCCATGTGGTGCCATGGAGTACAGGCTGAGGCTGCCTCTTCAAAGATCCCATGCAAAAGAGGGTGTAGCAAGTGATCTTGCCAGATGCCCAAGCTGTGCTAGCAGAAGCACTTGCCATTAAAGCAGAATACTAACAAGGCTTCTCTGGCACTGGGCTAGCTCAGGGAGGCAGCAGCATGTGAGTGCTGCCTGTATCGCCTCCTGCACAGCAAGAATCCTGCACAGATGCAGGAGCATGTGTCCTATACCAGTATAGCATTCCCAATGCAAATGGCCTACATTTTTGCTTCAGATGGCACTGTTAGAAACCCAGTTATCTCTATTATATCTTGGAGAAGATCTCTCGATGATGAAAAACAGCAGTGGTTAGATTAACAAAAGATAATACCCAATAAAAGGTCTAGGCAAGATTATGAACTGCAACATTGTCATAGTACTTAAAACATCAAGGGGCTAAAAGATTCCAAAAGGAAAATCCAGATTTTAGCTGGCCATGTTCCCTAAAAGTCATGCCATGCATTTTATTTCCCTGTATCAGCTGAGAGAAACTTGCCAAGATGCTCCTGACTGCAGTGCATGAAGCTTGGTGCCACTGTGCTACTCCCACTTTCTCCTTCTTACACATGGCATCAGGCACTTCAGGGTAGTTTTTGATACTGACAAGAAAATCTATAGGAGGATGTGTCTGATTTATTTTTTTCATGGAAAAATCCATTTACCATCAGCCCTTCAAAAACACAGTGTTCTAACCCGTAACATCTGGGAGGTGGAAGGGAAACAAGAGAGAACAAGGCTGTTTCCAACTCCTGTCTTTGTTAGTAGAGGTGTGCAAAGGGCTTGGAATACATTTTGCATTGAAGACTTCATAACCTGCTCATCTGTACTAGTATGAATAAGAGATACAGAGAGACAGTTTTCATTTGTAAAGTTGAGTATCATGGATGTGAAACCACTGGAGCTTTCTGAACAGGTATCAGCCCAAATGAGGGATTTGGGACCAATGTGTGGTGAATGCACGTGGTCTTTGGACTGTGACAGGCACCACGTCACCTTCATTTGCTCATTTTCTCTGCATTAATTGGATTTTATCCCTCTCTGTCCTTAGGGGTCAGTGAAGCAGCAATGGAGCAAACCTTCACACATGGCACCTAAACCCTCTTCTGAAGAACAGAAGAAAGAGACAAAGTCTGAAGTGAAGGAGCCACTGTTGAGAACCCACTCACTGTCACATGTCCCTGGTAGGAAATAAAATGCTTTAAATGTAGGCTGTTATCTCACAACCTTGCCAGAAGAAATCCTGCTTTAGCCTGCTTTAAAAGGAGTAGGGGAGGGATCCTAATCTCCTCCCCAGACCACATCAGCAAGGGCAAACTGTTTTCTCAGCACTCAGCTCAGAGGTTTTATTTGGTGGCATCTTCCTTTTACCACTTTGATTACACATTAGTCAAAACTCTTGTTGAAAGAAATGTGAATTGAAAGCACTGAGCCATTTCACAGGACAACATTCCAAACACATTATCCCAGCGTAAAAGGTAAAATGCATCCAAAAGTATTTTCAGTAGTGTTTAATTTTAATATCGTGTCCTCTGCAGGCTGGAATGACTGATGACAAACTGTCTGTCCATCAGACCTCCCATGAGAACTTCTAATCTATTTGTTAAATTCACATTTGAAAAAAGGGCAGAAGTTTAGAAGGCAATAAAATTCCTGTGAGTTGGGGGCTGGCTAAAGGAGGAATTTGCAAAGGAATGCTCTTGCTAATGAAGGCTCTCTTCTTTGGCCTGGGTGTTAACACAAGGCACAGCAAGGAATCCAGGTCATCATGTTGGTTTTGGTAAATTTAGGGACTGAAAGATATCGGTGATGAGAAAAACACTGTGTTCTTTTGAGCACAGAGTGGTTATTGCCTCAGTAACACGTTGCAGGAGAAGCTTCTATATGTGTGAAGGAAAGATTTTCTGCCACAGGGAAAGGCATGGGAAGTGTTTTGTTTTTTTTATGAAAGAGCTGCCTTGTGTAGCTGCACAGGAAGTTAACGTAAAATGTCCGTCTGTTTTGTTCACAGTAGCTCCATCACCAACACTAGTGGATAAAGAAGTCATAAGCCACTTCAAGAAAGCCAGTAACACTGCTTTGGACCAGCCATCATGGATGGAACTGGCCAAAAAGAAATCTCAAGCATGGAGTGATATGCCACAGATCATAAAATAGAACGATGCAAACCAACAGCATCTTTCATAATCAAGTCAACTACTTACCTGAACTTCTACAGACCAGCTAATCACAGTGAAGAATCTCTTGGTGCAGGAGAAGGGATCTATTATAGAGCTGTCAAGAAGGTGTGCAATAGATGCAGTCAAAAAAGTTTACCTTCAACTTTGTAGCAATCAGGATTGCAATGGCAATGGATGACTTAAATTACGCTAAGGACGTACTTACACTTTGGAAAATAAACCCTTTGCCTTACATATTTCTTGTGTTTTCTGCTTTTAAAGACATTGGCATGGAAACAGGACCTTTGCTAAACTTTGCTGAACTTCTGTTGTTGCTAGAAACTTCTATGTGTTACGGTTTTGCTCTGTTTACATTTATAAACTATGCACTAACACCCTGATTTTGTTGATGTGTTTCACTGGAATCGCCTGACACTCTTTTTATCAAACCTCTTGGGGCCATGGAGCTGTTCATGAGTAGCTGCCAGTGAGTGCTCCATTGAAATGAGTGGCTTGAGCTGCATGTTTTCCTAGCTGAGCCAAGTGGTCCTGTTTCTGGCTCAGGTTACATTTCCTGAGGCATAAATACACACATTTATGCATGACCATGAATAAAATGTCCTCAGCTCCTTCTGTGAGCTACCTTGGTTGCACAACATCTGCATGTGGGTGAGCAGAAAGGAAACCAAACTGCAGTTGGAAGTCCATCATTGCATTCACAGTTACTTTCCTACTATTTATCTGGTTACAGCGGGTTTTCTTTTACATGAAATCATCATTCTCCATTAGGATAGTACTAGTAGCAATGGACAATCTAAATTTAGTTAAAATATAAGAACTGAAAAGCCTTCAGCTTAGAGTCCAAAATGAAATGCTGGGAAAAACTGTGAACTTCATTGTAGTGTCAGCTTCACATATCACCCCCTACACAATGAATCATAAGTATTCTCATTTAAAAAATAGTAACGTGTAGCATCTCTGTACTTTCCTACCTTTACATAATATTCTCATGCTGATTAGCCCAAGTGTCCTGTGCCAGTTTGGGACTTCCACTCACAAAGTCCCCTAGGCTTTTCACTTTCACCTGTTTTACAAGAATGACAAGAGAAATCATTGCTGCTTATTGACTGAAATCACTGAACATATTTCAATATATATATTTCCAACCCCCCTGCATGGGCAGGGACACCTCCCACTAGACCAGGTTGCTCAGAGCCCCATCCAACCTGCCCTTGAACACTTCCAGGGATGGGACTTCCACAGCTTCCCTGGGCAACCTGTGCCAGTGTCTCAGCCCCCTCACACTAAAGAATTTTTTCCTAATGTCTCACCTAAATCTCCCCTCTTCCAGTTTTAATCCATTACCCCTCATTCTGTCACAACATTTCCTTGTAAAAAGCCCCTCCCCAACTTTTCTGTAGCCCCTTCAGGCACTGGAAGGCTGTTACAACTTCTCCCAGGAGCCTTCTCTTCTCCAGGCTGAACAGCCCCAACTCTCTCAGCCTGTCTTCATAGCAGAGGTGCTCCAGCCCTCTGGTCAACTTTGTGGCCCTTCTCTGGACTTGCTCCAACAGCTCCATGTCCTTCCTGTGTTGGGGGCTCCAGAACTGGACACAGCACTCCAGGTGGAGTCTCATGAGAGCTGAGTAGAAGGGGAGAATCACCTCCCTGGCCCTGCTGGCCACACTTCTGTTGATGCAGCCCAGGACACGTTTGGCTTTCTGGGCTGCAAGCACACATTGCTGGCTCATGCTGAACTTCTCATCCACCATTACCCCCAAGTCAGGTCTGTTATTGATCCATTCTCCACGCATAAAATCATAGAATGATTTGGCTTGGAAGGAGCACCTTCTACTGGACGAGGTTGCTCAGAGCCCCATCCAGTTGGGCCTTGAACACTTCCAGGGACAGGGCAGCCACAGCCTCCCTGGGCAACCTGTTCCAGTGTCTCAGCATGTGAATATCCACGACACTGATAATGCTTTTTAGACAGGTCCTATTTTATTGTCAAAAATCGTAGGAACAATAAAAGAAGTTTTATATTATTTGTCAAAGCCTTTGGACAAAGCCAGCCAGCCTGCATCACTGCTGAAGGTCTGATGCAGCTGCTTGGACAGATGTGCTCCAGCTCCTTGCAGTAGCTGTTGGCAGTCCCAATGTAAGCTGGTTTCTGCCAGCTGGGCCAGGGTTTTCTCCTTTCTGCAGATGACAAAAGGCAGCATGGACATACCTGCTGCAATGAGAGTGGCAAGACAGCTCTTTCTTAAACAGATCCACAACAGAAACAGCAACTTAATTACAGGACATGCAACCTTGGGCTCAATTGCCTGAAGGTCGGTTGTGCAAACAACTTTGAAGTTGCTTCCCTATGAGCAAGTATGAACTGTCCTTAATTTCAGGTGACTCTTTTGGAGTATTCAAGTTATACTCTAGGACCTGAAGTAGAAATAGGTACATTTTTCAGATATAATAGAAACCATTTTAACTCCCTCCCTCTCCAAAACACCCATTCTGTAATAAACAGCTCAGTAGCATAAAGTGTAATTTTAACATATGCTATTTCCTTTTGTAGGAATCTTGAAAAAAGAGTTTATTAAAGGAATATAATACATAAAAAAGACCACATTTGTATTCTATAATAATTGTCACTCCATACAAAGAGCACAATATTTTCAGAAAAAATAGTTCAAGGTACTGTCTGTCTCCTTACAATTCTCTTCCTCTTTGAAATGCTTAAAATGGTGTTGAATCGTGATCAACTTCCAGGAGCACGACCTGGGCAGCTGCATGGGGAAGAGGACAAATCTCCTGGACTGTGTCCTCTTCTCATAGACAAGAGGCCCAGGAGTAATGGAGATGAAAGGCAGAGGTATTGTGGCAAGACATGCACTATCTCAAGGGCAACAAGCCCCATGTCCCCCCCCTCCACTTCCAGACAGGTCAAGGAGAGGAGGTGAGGGGGGACCAGTTGTTCAGAGGGTGCAGCCCTACTCCTCATGCAGCCTTTGGGATCTGAACTTGGGAGCAAGCTGAGGCAGGAAGCATGGAGTGGATGTCAGCCCATGGTTTAACATTGACTGCGACATGGTCCAGCTGTGGGGTTTCTGCTGGCTCCACCCGCATCTGGGTTTTGGCACCAACTGTGTGCAAATGACTGTTGTGAGCAGAGTCAGCAGGTTCATGGATCCTTAGAAGCCCATCAGCCCTCTTCACCTGACCTCCAAGGGAATGGTGCTGCACCCCCACAGGCTGATCAGGCCCATGGGTACCTAACTTGAGATCCTGACCATTTCTGCTGTGATGATGGAGGAATTTCAAGGAACTCAAAAAAATATGATTCAGAGAAGTGGTAGCACATTTTCAAGCAATGCATAATTAACCTGGAATGGGTTGCCATAGGAGGTTGCCACTACAGGTTCAGATGACTTCAAAAAGCCACTAGACAAAACAGTGGAAGACAAAACCCATCAATGCTGCTCACCATGAGAGGCAGGGCCTTGGCCAGGGAGAATGCGAAAGGCTTTGGAAGCAGTGAGACAAGTGGAGTCATCATCTCTGTATTCTCCTGCAGCTGCCAATGGCTCTGGCCTTTGTGCAAAAGAAGACACTGGACCTCCAAACTGACTGACTGGGGGGAATTTTTATTTTCTCACGGTGTTGGTTTGTAACCTTATTTCTTCATTCTAAACCAAGGGGTCATGCAAGAGGGTCTTGCAATAGCTGTTCTCTCAACAAGCAGGCAGAAAATAGTTCCAGAGGCTCTGTATTTTTCTTTGGTCAGATGGCTCATTCGTGGCAATGGAAAGATGCAAATATAAATGTATTTTTCTCCTCCATTTGAACAGTGATTTATGTTTCACAGTCAATGCAACCAGAACAGCCTTTCAGATCTGATCAGCTTTCCTAAGGATGTCATTGTACTTTTCCAGCAGAGAAGCAATATGACTGGCTCAGGCTGATCCATTTTGTTCAGGCAGCTGCATTGTTGGTTTATAACATCTAACAGTGAAATAAAAAGTGAAAATGCACCCTTTGCTCGTGACTCATGCACATAAACTAACATAGTCTGGATTATACTCAAAGGACAACCACAAAATGGTCTTGAAAGGTAGAAGTGTTTCTCCCAGAAGTGCTGCAGGATACATCTCAGCTTTCCATTTAATGAACAAGGTGACAGGCTGCAAGCAGTTGCCCTTCCCAGTGCTGAAGGGCTGCACACAATGCAAATGAAATTGTGTATCAAGCATATTTCAGTGCAGAAACTCTGGCTTTAATGACATTCACAGTTTAGCAGTTGGATCATCCTAATTAGCTGCCTCCTAATGTTTAGCCATTTTAAGTGAAAAATTACAACCAAGTTATTTTTACTGTACAGCAAAGTGCAATAAATTTTTAAGGCAAAAACATCCCCCGGGCCTTTACTGTGATATGGTGTTTTGTCACTGTGTTGCCTTTGACAGTTTACTACATTTGTAGCATTTTTCTTTTTTTTTTTTTTTTCCAGATGAAGAGGAACATAAAATCCTGTTGCCAGGGAAAATACCCAGCAGCAGGGAAGCAAGAAGCTTGCTGTAATTTTACAATGCCATCATTCCCGCTTAGTGTTGAGGAGCATGATCAACTTGCCAAAATATTTGCTTTGTATACATGTTGAGCACTCTGCTGAGGGTAACAAAGGTTTAATTACAGGGTTTTGTGTTTGTGGTTAGAAGATAAGTTTTTATACTGCTATAGAGAGAGAGGGAAATAAAACACTAAAACAAACAAAAAAAAGCCATTTGTGAACACTGGGCAGCACGGCATGTCTCACCAAGCTCCAGGGGGGAATGTAAACCTTCTGTGATCCAGCACTAGTGGCTGCACGAGATTAATTCTTCCAGGAGAAGGCATTTCAGTCCCAAGTGGGCACAAGTCTCTGGCTCACATATCCCCGATGCTCGCCAAGCAACAGGAACTGTTGAGCTTTTCTAACGTAGGATCTGTTATGTTCTGACTTCA